CTTTCGATGGGCTCCTCAACAGTAGCTCAAACCATAAAAGTACAGAAAGGAGCTCCAGACCCAAACTGGATGAAAGAGTCCAAGGCTTCTTTCAATGGGCTCCAACAGTAGCTCAAACCATAAAAGTACAGAAAGGAGCTCCAGACTAAAACTGGATGAAAGAGTCAAAGGCTTCTTTCGATGGGCACTCAACAGTAGCTCAAACCATAAAAGTACAGAAAGGAGCTCCAGACCCAAACTGGATGAAAGAGCCAAGGCTTCTTTCAATGGGCTCCCAACAGTAGCTCAAACCATAAAAGTACAGAAAGGAGCTCCAGACCCAAACTGGATGAAAGACTCCAAGGCTTCTTTCAATGGGCTCCCAACAGTAGCTCAAACCATAAAAGTACAGAAAGGAGCTCCAGACCCAAACTGGATGAAAGACTCCAAGGCTTCTTTCAATGGGCTCCCAACAGTAGCTCAAACCATAAAAGTACAGAAAGGAGCTCCAGACCAAAACTGGATGAAAGAGTCAAAGGCTTCTTTCGATGGGCACTCAACAGTAGCTCAAACCATAAAAGTACAGAAAGGAGCCCCAGACCAAAACTGAATGAAAGAGTCCAAGGCTTCTTTCAATGGGCGCCCAACAGTAGCTCAAACTATAAAAGTACAGAAAGCAGCACCAGACCAAAACTAGATGAAAGAGTTCAAGGCTTGCCTCGATTGTTACCCAACCATAGCTCAAACTGTAGAAGTACAAAAAGGAGCTCCAGACAAAATCTGAATGAAAGAGTCCAAGGCTTCCCTTGCTGGGCACCCAGCAGTATCTCAAACCATAGAAATACAAAAGGAGCACCAGACCAAAACTGGATGAAAGAGTCCAAGGCTTCCCTCGATGGGCACCCAAAGGTAGTTCAAAACATAGAAGTACAGAAAGGAGCACCAGACCAAAACTGGATGAAAGTGTCCAATGTTCATGTAAAAACAACCAATGGATTTTGAGGGAAACACCACACCTTCAACAGGGCTCAACACAGGATGGACTGAGAGAAAAATTAGGGGTTTCCTCTCATTTCCTGTTATGGCTATGGAACGGAAAGTGAAGGGAAATTTCCCCAGTGGGTCACAGATGACAAAAAAAAAAATCCTGAGAGGAGTTATAACCCTCCCTTACTCTATCAATAATTAAAACAAGTTTGGTTTTTAGTTCTACTTTAAATAGTAAGAAGGGTACTGTGAAAGTCTACCAGTAACTAGCGTGTAGTCCAGGGTTCCCAGAATAGTTGTTATTGTATATGATTTCTAGGCTGAAGAGTCCAGAACAGGGGTGGACCGACAACTCATAGGGCCCCTGGGAAATAGGAAATCATGGGGCCCCTGTGTCCCTGTCCACACTCAAACCACACCCCAAAAAAGCCTATGAAAGGTACCAGGAACATCTCATGGGGCCCCCTACTGACTGGCAGTGCCCGAGTGCCTACATGGTCAGTCCGCCCCGGTCCAGAATATCACTCAGTTGCTCTAAAATTGGGTTGTCCCACAAGAACAGGTCATCTAGAAGACCAGGAAGGAGAACAGTCATCTTGCTTCAGCTCACACAGACTTAGCTAGTTTCGGGATTGGTAATTGGCCCCGGGGGGGGGGGGGAGAAACAATCTAGAAGCCTCCATATATATCAACAGCTGTCTTATATTAAGGTTATAGGCCAGATGTGCCTCTACAGAGGAGATCTAATCACTTTCCTCAGAATATGTCAATTGTTACACTGAAAACAATCATTTTGTGCTTTTATTGATTGGTTTGTTGGACTGGAATGACACAAATACGGTTTTCCCTGCACTGAAATTGACAGAAATGATGCCAAGACCAAAAAAATCTTATTGGTGGCTATAAATTCTAAGACCTTGTATATAGTCTTTATGGCACACATGGCGTTCAATAAGACAGCTATATTCATAAAAAGGTCTAATAGCACTCAAATGATCCATCTGAAAGTGTTAGCTCCACTCATGTGGCAGTCACATAATCCAAATGTAGAAAAAGCATGATAAAACTATATCCGTATATGCACCAGTAGTAGGCAAAGGCAGAACCTTTTCATTTACATCTCCACTCTACAGTGATAAGATCCTACTTTCCCACTAAAGAACAGTTTGCTGTCTCAACAGTCGCTTTGGCAAGAACCCGCGTAGGCAGGTTGCCTACTGTAAGCTAGTTAGCATGGTGGAAAGGGGATAATGATTTTCCGTTTTTCCTGGTCTAAATTTGCGGGTTTTTGGGGTACAGCCCAACGGTCCGGTCCTTTTACTATTTTAAAAACAACAGGGGTCTGGATCGGGGCGACTGACCATTTGGGAATTCGGGCACTGCCCGAGGGCCCGGGGTCCGTAGGGGGGCCCCATGAGATGCCCCTGGTACCTTTCATAGCCTTTTTTGGGTGTGGTTTGAATGTGGGCAAGGACACAGGGGCCCCATGATCCCTTATTGCCTGGGGGCCCCATGAGTTGTCAGTCTGCCCCTGATCTGGATCCAGTAGCCTTGTTGTCCCTTGAGTTCCAAAGAGCTGCTGTTTGAGAAGCAGTGCCAATTCATCAGGACACCAGCATTATACCACTACTATGGGGTTTGCCTTTATGGGCTCTACCTGTGGAGGTATGCTAGGGCAGCCACATTTAGAGTCAGGTTTAGTTAGGGAAAGGATGTTTTGCTCTGTTGTACCTGTTATGTCAAGTTTACAGTAAAGCCTTGAAACATTGTTCTGCCTGGTCTGAAATTACTCAAAGGGGTGTATGAAAGTAAATGGCACATTACACCTAGTCTTCAGAAGCTTGGGTCAATTAAAGCACATTGGGGTATGAAGATGGCTCTGCAAGAGTTAACATGGTGTGGAGTAAAGCAAGTAATTGCCAATAGTAATGGAAGTAACCAATAGAAATAGCCTGTTGTGGTACCTGTGCGAATTGGGATGTCCTCCAGTAGCGAGGGGGTTGCTTCTGAGACTTCCTCCCTTAGCAGTTCATCTCCCATAGCAATGGGAGAGGGTCAGCCTCATGGTGGCCCTTGGCCTAGCCATCAATTACAGGAGAGCAAGAAGACAAATGCGCTCATGAGGTCCATGGTAGGTGCACAGTGAAAACCCCATTCTGTTACTGGGAGTGAGGTGACAGAGATACGCTGGGCAGGTGGAGTGGGCATAGGCTTAGCTTGTCCCTCCTTAATTTAACAGTTACAGTCAAGATGTGCATTGACACGGGACCAGACAATTGACTTGAGTCCAGTTTACTCAGAGTAAACAGTGTATAGTCATCTCTAAGTTGGAGGACCCCCTAAGGTTGAATTACCCTGACAGCAGTCCCTGCCTAGTCCTGGGGCATTGATGAGCATGGCAGAGCAAAGGTAGCTCATGTGCAGGGCGAGTGACCCCGTCCATGGTGCCTAGTGTAGCCCAGAAGAATCCACTCTGGGGTATGCCTCTTATATCACCCTACATTTTGGTGCTCAACAAGGGGGAACATAGAGGAAAGGCCCACCTACCCCTTATGCCTGTCTTCACCAGGAACTATCTCTATTCTCCATGTAGCAGCCTCCAAGAGTAGGATGCTAGGCAAATAAATCTAGATTCTAGCTCCTTTTGTAAACAAGGGAGCAATTATTATTATACAGGATTTATATAGCGCCAACAGTTTGCTGAGCTCTTTACAATATAATGGGAGACAATACAGCAACAATACAGTTCAATACAAGAGGGTTAGGAGGGCCTTGCTCCTCGGAGCTTACAATCTAGGAGGGAGGGGCTATTGGTACAAAAGGTAGTAACTGTGGGGTATGGACTGGTAGTAGGAGTAGAAGATTCCATTATTAGCTGAGGGTAGGATAGGCTTCCCTGAAGAGATCAGTTTTCAGAGATCACCTAAAAGTGAACAGAGTAGGCGATAGTCTGATAAATTGGGGTAGAGAATTCCAGAGGATGGGGGAAGCTCTGGAGAAGTCCTGGAGACGAGCATGGGAGGAGGAGACAAGGGAGCTAGAGAACAGGAGGTAGTGCGAGGAGCGGAGAGCACGGTTTGGGTGATATTTAGAGACAAGATCGGTGATGTAATTTGGGGCAGAGTTATAAATGGCTTTATATGTTATTGTTAATGTTTTGAATTGTATCCGTTGGGCAATGGGAAGCCAGTGGAGGGATTGGCAGAGAGGGGTGGCAGATACAGAACAGTTAGAAAGGTGGATGAGTCTGGCAGCAGCATTCATGATAGACTGAAGAGGGGATAGCCTGCGATTCAGTAGGCCAATGAGGAGGGAGTTACAATAGACAAGGCGAGAGATAACAAGGGAGTGAAGAAGTTGCTTAGTGGTTTCTGAGGTTAAGAACGGCCGTATCTTGGAGATGTTGTGGAGGTGAAGTCTACAAGATTTGGACAGTGATTGGATTTGGGGGTGAAAGGACAGATGAGAGTCTAGGATTACACCTAGTACCCTGGCATGAGGGGAGGGACTGATGATTGTGTTATTGATCTTGATGGAGAAGTCAGGGGAGGAGGCACGGGATGGAGGGAATACTAAGACCTCAGTTTTGGAAAGATTGAGTTTGAGGAAGTGGAATGACATCATGCCGATATGTCACTTAGTAGGTTAGTAATGCAATGATTATTTGACCTTTTTCTGTTCAGGGTCTCACAGGCTGAGAGTTTGATTGCTTCCCTCTGCCTCTGGAAGAAGCTTCTAGAGCTTGGGGTGGGGGCTTCAAAAAACCAGCCTGAATATTTATCATGCTGCAGCCAGTTCCTAGGAGGAGTTTCCAGAAGGGAGCTGGAAAGGTAATAAATAGTCTGATGCACTGGAGAGCTGTTTTTTTCTCCCCAGGAGGGTTCCAGAGATGGAGAGGCTGCTGCCCTCAGGTAGCCCATGAACTATGCAGCTGTTCTATAGGCCTCAGTGGTGTCCGGCTAAGGCTTGTATGGCCTTTGTTTAGAGTTGATTTTAGAAACACACCACAGGAGATCTGATCTAGAGAGGTGCCTACTGTTAGGAATGGACTTGCCAGTAGCGGTGGGACTCACCTGCCTTGTGGGCTGCAGTACCAGGGCTGGCCAGCGGGTGCTCCCAGCAATCAGAGACTCAACCCTGCAGTCAGCCAAACACCTGAAACTGCTTATGCAGGTGTATTTAAGTGATGGCCAGACCTGCAGTCTTTGCCTTGGTGTGTGTGTTTTTCCTGGGCCCTGAATCTTGTTCCTGCATTCCTGTTCCTGTTCCTGTCCCTGTTCCTGTCTTGTTGCTGACCCTGTTTGATCCTGACCTCTGCTGACCCTGTTCTGATCCCTGGCTTGTGACCCCGACCATTCTCTGCCTGACCCCCTGTACCTACCTGCCTGTTAGTTGCTGTACCCGGCTCGTGACCTGACTACTCTCTGCCTGCTCCTCCTGTTCCTACCTGCCCGTTTGCTATTGACCCGGCCTGCCTGACGACGCTTGCATTGTATGTATAGTTATCTGTGGGTGGTTTGGTTTGTTTGCACTGTGTTATGTTTTAGTGTTGCACTGCGTTTATGTATTGTTAGTGTTAATAAATCGTATGGTTTATAACATATCTGAAGCCTGCGTTTCCCTGCGTCAGTCACATATCTCTGGTCATACCCTGGAGCCCTGACACCTACTCAGTCGTTGGACCATATCCAGAGGAGCCTGAAGGAGGCAGCTTTCCTGAGGACTTGTGAGTAAAGCCTTAAACTGATCCCTGTGACTGTGTAGTGTCCAGAAATTGCACTGGGAACCAGCAATTGAGGCGCAAAGTAGCCAGATGCCAAAAACTTGCCTTACCTTCTTAAGGTGCAAAAACATGGGGTATGACTTGTCATGCAATGTTAGTGTCCAAAGTTGCATGACAAGTTGCACAAGTGTGAATGGAACTTAATTCATCCTGCATTGTTTTATTTCTTATCTTGTGAAGAAAGATACACTGTATTGCCAAAAGTACTGGGTCAGCCATCCAAATAATTGGATTTATGTGTTCCATTCACCTCCATGGCCACAGGTGTATAAAATAAAGCACCTAGGCATGCAGACTGCTTCTACAAACATTTGTGAAAGAATGGGTCGCTCTCAGGAGCTCAGTGACTCCAAGTGTGGTCCCGTGATAGGTTGCCACCTGTGCAATAATTTCCTTGCAACTAAATATTCAACTGTTAGTGGGATTATAACAAAGTGGAAGCAACTGGGAACAACAACAACTCAGCCACCAAGTGGTAGGCCACGTAAAATGACAGAGCGGGGTCAGCGCATGCTGAAGCGCACAGTGCGCAGAAGTCGCCAACTGTCTGCAGAGTCAATAGCTAAAGACCTCCAAACTTGGTGTGGCCTTCAGATTAGCCCAACAACAGTGTGTAGAGAGCTTCATGGAATGGGTTTCCATGGCCGAGCAGCTGCATCCAAGCCTTACATCACCAAGTGCAAAGCAAAGCGCTGGATGCATTGGAAGCACGCCGCCACTGGACTCTAGAGCAATGGAGACGTGTTGTCTGGAGTGACCAATCACGCTTCTCTGTCTGGAATTCCGATGGACGTGTCTGGGTTTGGCGGTTGCCAGGACTTGCCTGACTGCATTGTGCCAAGTGTAAAATTTGGTGAAGGGGGGATTATGGTGTGGGGTTGTTTTTCAGGGATGGGGTTAGGCTTGGCCCCCTGGTTCCAGTGAAGGGAACTCTTAAGGTGACATTTTGGACAATTTCATGCTTGTGGACGGCCTTCCCAGAAGAGTTGAAGCTGTTATAGCTGCAAAGGGTGGGCCAACTCAATATTGAACCCTACGGACTAAGACTGGGATGCCATTAAAGTTCATGTGCGTGGAAAGACAGGGGGCTCAAAACTTTTGGCTGGCAATATAGTGTGTATATATATATATATATATATATATATATATATATATAAAAATGTTGGGGGTTTAAGTAATTTTCTATCAAAAATTACTGATTTTCCCCACCCTGAAAAACACCATGCTGGAGATGGGAAATGGTTGCAAAGAGGCAGCAGGAACATTCTATAGAAAGACAATGGCAATGGTTTACAATATACAAACTAAATGTCTTTCCATAAGGTTTACATATGGTAAGTGACAGACGGCAGCCTAGATGTCATTCTTCATTTTGGCCCCTAGTTTCCCTTTAACCAACGAATTGCTCAACGGAAGTTGGCTTCAAACACGAAGAAAACAAAAGCTGCATAATTTTGCCTTCCAACCTCAATCTGAAAGCTATAAAAATGTATACGTATGACGTCCATCTCTAATGTTCTAGCCATTTACTTCATGTCAGCAGGAATCCTGCAGTGGGTGTCCAATTATTTCTCCTGGCCGATTTCACTTGAGGTTTTGAAAGCTGACACTTCTCATTTTCTCAAGCTGAGCCCTCTGGTCGCTCAACTGGGGAGAAAAGACCTCTTCTAAACCTTTCCTGACCTTTAACCCCATAGAACACCTTTGGGATGAATTAGAGTGGAGACTGCAAGTCAGGCCTTCTCGTTCGACATCAGTGCCTGACCTGACAAATGTGCTTCTAGAAGAACAGTCAAACCTTCCGATAGACACCCTCCTAAACCTTGTGGATGGCCTTCCCAGAAGAGTTGAAGCTGTTATAGCTGCAAAATGGTGGGCTAACTCAGTATTGAAACCTATGGACTAAGACTGGGATGCTATTAAAGTTCATGTGCGTGGAAAGGCAGGCGGCCCAATACTTTTGGCAATATAGTGTATATATATATATAATGTTGGGGGTTTTAAGTAATTTTCTATCAAAAATTACTGATTTTCCCCACCCTGAAAAACACCATGCTGGAGATGGGAAATGGTTGCAAAGAGGCAGCAGGAACATGAAAATTCTATAGAAGGACAATGGCAATGGTTTACAATATACAAACTAAACGTCTTTCCGTAAGATTTACATATTGTTAGTGACAGACGGCAGCCTAGATGTCATTCTTCATTTTGGCCCCTAGTTTCACTTTAACCAACAAATTGCTCAACGGGAGTTGACTTCAAACACGAAGAAAACAAAAGCTGCATAATTTTGCCTTCCAACCTCAATCTGAAAGCTATACAAACGTATACGTATGACGTCCATCTCTAATGTTCTAGCCATTTACTTCATGTCAGCAGGAATCCTGCAGTGGGTGTCCAATTATTTCTCCTGGCCGTTTTCACTTGAGGTTTTAAAAGCTGACACTTCTCATTTTCTCAAGCTGTGCCTTCTCCTCGCCCAACTGGGGAGAAAAGGCTGCTTCAAAACCGTTCTGACCTCAAACCGATAGAACACCTTTGGGATGAATTAGAGTGGAGACTGCGAGCCAGGCCTTCTCGTCCAACATCAGTGCCTGATCTCACAAAGGTGCTTCTGGAAGAATAGTCAAACCTTCCCATAGACACCCTCCTAAACCTCGTGGACGGCCTTCCCAGAAGAGTTGAAGCTGTTACAGCTGCAAAGGGTGGGGCCAACTCAATATTGAATCCTACAGACTAAGACTGGGTTGCCATTAAAGTTCATGTGTGTGGAAAGGCAGGCGGCCCAATACTTGGGTCAATATAGTGTATATTTACCCAAGTTAACCATCTGGATCCTTTGCTGATGGAAGGATCTACAAACAATAAACTACAAAAAAAGACAACCTTAGACTGTTTACTAGAGTCAGAGTGGATGGACTGTTGCTTGTGTGATTAGTGACCTATGCACTTTCTGGGAAAGAACAAGTTAACATCAGCATTACAGGGTAGCGCTACATATAAAATCTAAGGTATAATAATATTTTCTAGGGTTTGGTATTACCACAAAAAAAATAATAATTTTGAAATTGTGGCATAAACAGTATAGAAGCCATATTTTGAACATTTACAAGATCTAAGCTAAGGTCTCAAGACTCAGCAAAAGTTAAAATTTAAAATAGTTCAACATCTAAAGTAATTTCTGATGACCTTTAAATCTAAGAATTTAAAGATAACTAAGAGTCAAACCCTCTAAATATGTGATCAAAAGGCAAGTTTTTGCCTTTTTATATTTTGAAAAGAATTTGAATTTAAGAAAAACCAGAAGTACAAGTGACCACATGAGACTTGACCACTCTTGTGTTTTGCATAATTATATTGCCTTGATATTTAATTAGGTGTCTAAGGAAAAAAAATTTATGTCGTTAGCAATATTTTAACTTGAAGGAGAAAAAAATCTAAATCTGACATAATGATATGTTTCCTTTAATTAAAACGCTCGTAAAAATAAATTACAAATTGGTACATTTAAGATCTATAACCAGTTCAGAACTAAAGGCTGTGTGTTTCTTATGGTCTGCAACAATTTTCCGTTTTGGAGTTTTTGGTGTATTTTTGTAATACAACACTGTAAAAAATAAAACAAAGTAAAATATAAAAAACAGTCACCAAAAGGATCAGTTCACCTTTTAAAAAAGAAGAAATGGTGCACTAGCCCTCTGCACCCTCACCAACTCCCAGTCCCTGCTGAACTTACCTCTGGGGGTGATTGTGCCGGTGCTGACCAATCAGAATTGCTCTGATCCTCTGGTCACCAAATAGTCAGGTGTAGTTTGGCCTTCCTGCATAGATGGCTCTGTTCGACAGCCACCATGCAGAGAGTGCGGAGGGCAAGGAGAACCTATGTTCCCCTGAGGCCTCCATAGGTGTCATCAGGAGAGTAGTTGTCCAAATGGGCATTGTTACCTTGGTTGACTTCAGTGACCATCTTTGGTGAGGGCAGTGCTAATAAATATCCTTCGGATGGTACACATTCACAAAGTCACTTGGTCAGGAACAGAGACCCCATTGGTCAGGGACAGAGTGTTTAGAGTAGGAAGAGATTCCAGAGAAAAAGGGACATGGTAAGCACTGTTGCTTGTGCATCAAGCAGGAGCCCTTGCTCATCCAGGTGCCTCATTGCTGGTCTACCTTCAAGCCACCTCCTCTGTCAGATGTTGTCAGGTTTCAACAGTGTGTATGGGTATTCTTTGCACAGTTCTCTACTGGAGTTGCCATGTATAGAGGCTCTGTACTGAATTCTCACATTAATATATTATTCTGCACTATTTGGCCTGCGTGTGTGTTCTCTCATTTCTGCATACTGAGCACTGCACCCTGCCTACAACCATCCCTTCTCCTTTGTGTATGTGCAGCTCTTGGGCAGGGAATGTCCTAGCCGCAGCTCATTGGCCCAAAACTGACAGCTGACTTCCTGGTTCAGCTGTACATGGGAACCCAGAGCTAAACCCAAGATCATCCCTAGTCAACAAGACAAGCAGAGAAGGCAAATCTACCTCTCCCACATGGCCATATTAAGTCAATATCTTTGACCTACTATGGTCATGTTAAGTCAATGATGTCACAAGCATCCACACCCCTTTGGGTAAGTGCAACTGTGGGGTGGGGAATGTCATAGTCGCAGCTCTGTGGCCCAGGAATGACAGTTGCCTTTTGGGTTTGACCAAA